ATATATACAGTTGTGTGACAATTTATTATGGCCACCTATGAGTTTTGATCATTTTGAAATTTAATCTCATTTTTTTCATTTGAAGAGTAAAAATTCATTATTGAAAGTTAATCTTCTGTTTAAAATAAAGTTTTAACTTATAAAATCAATGCTTTTTTTTGCTACTGGCAACACTGTCACTTTTGACAGCCATTTGGTATGATGTCATCTTAATTATAATCTTTTTGCTGTACACTTGTTAAGTTTTATTACCAGAGTTTTGAATTCTTTTATTAGGTTATCGTCATATTACTTATTTAAATCAGTAAAAATTTCTTGAATATTTCTTTTTATTTTAAATTAAAAATAGTTGTATTTTGTTTGATATTTTTAAAGTTATGAGTACCAAAGCAAATTCTTAACTGTTATGTGATACTGATATGTGATATCTTATTTTAGTAATGAGGGAAAAAAAAAACTTGTCACAAAAAATTGCTGAAATCAGGGCACTTTTAATAAATACTGATCATTCTCAATAAAAAATAGCCAGAAAATATGGTATTTCGCGGGTATCTGTACAAAATATACACAAAAAAATGCTAATATGGAGAACTTGATGCCAAAGAGTTGGTAAATGTGGAAAGAAGAGAATCCTAACACCATGCAGGAAATGAATACTTACCAAGATTGTTTTAGATAATAGACGGGCCACCAACAACAAAATAACTAATAGGCTGGGCCAATCTGGAGTCAAAATGTTGAAGAGAACGGTCCAACATTGCCTACACAATCTTGGTTACATTTCACGACGTCCAGCTAAGAAGCCTAAACTGACACCAAAAATTGTACAAAAAATGCTTGAGTGGACAAAAAAGTATAGGAATTTAACATATGATTGGTAATTAATAAAATTAATTTAGATGAATTTAAAATATCCACTTTCTTACACTAAACTTTAAATATTCATTCAATATTCACTTAACAATCCTTGTATAATATTTGAAGGTATGCTTTAGCGGCGAGAGTACTTTTAAGTTTTAAAAAGAAAAAAAGGGAAAAAATACTTATTGGACTGCATCATGCAAACTGTTAAACACCCCACCTCTGTGATGATCTGATCAATGAAATGTGTAAAAGAAATAGGAAGGTTCTATATTGCAGAATGAAAAATGTTACAGTTACAATATAAAAATGCTGGAACAAAGATTGTTGTCACAATTGGCAGAATAGTTTAGTCCAGGTGAAAAAAAAGCCTTCATGCAGGACAGGGCATGACCATGTCGCACAGCTAAATCAGTTAAAAAATATCTATCAGAACAAAATATTCCATTACTTGATTGGCCAGGAAACTCTTCTGACCTAAATCCTATAGAAAATGTTTGGGCGCTCCTAAAGAAGCAAATATCTGAAAAAATTATTACAAATAAAGTGTATTTAATAGAAAGAATTATTCAACATTGGAACTATAATAAAGAATTGAAGGAATTGGCTCAAAAATGCATTAAAAGTATGCCAAAAAGGGTTCCTGCAATTATAGAGGCAAAGGAGGAATCACCAAATATTGATCTTGAATATATTTGCAGTAATATTTGAATAATAAAATTTGTTTAATTTGAATAATAAAATTTATTTAATAATATTTTAATAATAAAATAATAAACAATATGTTAAATGTTTTTATTTGTCAAAAAAATACCCATTTCTTAAATAAAAGTTACTTTGAGTACATAAATCAAAAAAAATAATAAATAATAGACTTAGAAACTTGATAATTTTGAAAAATTGTGGGTGGCCATAATAAATTGTCACACGACTGTATTTTATATAATTTATCATAATAATCAATAAATATTCAAAATGTTCATCTTTATTTATTTGTTTTTATCAAGTACAACTTTATAAATAAAAGAAAAAACTTTAAATTGCACTATTAATATTATATATATATATATATATATATATATATATATATACATATATATATATATATATATATATATATATATATATATATATATATATATATATATATATATATATATATATATATATATATATATATATATATATATATATATATATATATATATATAATATATTCATATAAGCACATGTATGTATATATACATACATATATATGTATGTTTATATATATACATGTATGTTTATATACACACATGTATGTATATATACATACATATATACGTATGTACATATATATGTATGTATATATAGAGTAAAAAAAAAGGTTAAGTATGCGTTACAAATCAACCTTTGTACTTTAAGGTTGTTCTTTAGCTCAAGGAAATACAAAAGTAAGAGAAAACAGTTACAAAAAAAATTATAATCAGACATAAAAAAAAAAGATTCATTTTATGTCTGATTAGAATTCGTCAAACTTTTAAAAATATATGCTACACAGATTTTTAACACAAGTTTAAAACAAACTATAAAAAAGATTCAAAAGATTTTTTATTTAAAACTACTTTTAACAAACCTTTGCATCACATGTATTTGTATTTGTCTTTATGGTTTTACCTCCAATTTTAGAAAGTTTGTTAACCTAAAGGTATAAGAAAATAATTACACCACATTATTTTTATAGTACATTTATAAAAAGTTACAAGTAGATTAACTTAGGCTAAGTTATTGATAAATACTTAATCAAAAAACAATAAAAAAAACTGCAAAAAGTCATGGTTTGAAACAACCTATCAGTTCTGACCTCACCCAAGAATCATTTAAACTGTTATCCATAAGAATTTCAGAACTATTTGTCATGATATTACTTTAATTACTGGAAAGAGTTTTTACTAACATCTCTTTCTAACAATAAAGATATATCAGAAAGACAAAAGAACCAAACATTAATTAATTTCTAAAAGTGTTGAAACACAAGAACAAAAAATTTATAAAATAAAACATTATTCATAAATTAAATAAAATGTATTAATTTAGCAACCAAAGAAATATGTAAATCACTGAAGCATAGAAAAAAATGTTCAGAATCTTTTCTTCCTAAATCAACTTGCAGACAGACAATTAATACCTTGAGCTACAGTATGTGGAGTATGCATAAAAAATGTTTTCTGTTTCTTTTTTTGCGTTACAGGAGTAGGTATTTGCTTACTATTCTGTTGGTTATTATGTTTTCTCTTGCATAAGCATGGTAGTGGCTCCTATAAAAATTAATATCAAAATATAACTAATAATACTTGAATTAAGTATTTTTTGAAATAGTTACTGTTTTCTGAACCTGATTCTATCTGAGTATCACTTATAGAGGCAAATTCAAATTTATTACATAACTCATGATCTAAGAATATTCATTCAATTTAAAAATGTTTTAAATACATTATGTAATAAAGAATATATAATAAAGAATATATCTAAACACTGAAAACAACATATACAGAATGAAAGCATGTTAAAAAAACAAGGAAAAAAAGTAATGATTTAAGGTTTATATTAAAAAAAAATTACATTATCTCCATGACATTAAATTTTGAGCAGCTTAAATCTGTATTAGTTAGATGCGGTTTATGCATTTCATTGAAACAATTTATTACATTTAAAGATGACGAGCAGCACAAAAAATTATCAATCGAATTTTCTCTCTTTATTTCTCTGTATTTTCTATCCAATCAGCTCGAATGACCATTTTGCATGCCCTACTATACTTTTTCAACTGGAAAAGTATAGTAGAAATTATAATAGAAAAAATACTTATATATTAAAAATTTGTTCATGTAAAATAGCTAACAGAAAAATACAACTATAAACTGTGCGTTATGATACATTATACAGTTGCTAAAATTTGCTAAATTTTTATGTTGATCTTTCTACCAATATTATGGACTAAAGAAGCATTCACAAATTCTTTTTTATACAACTTTACAAGAAAAATCTTTAAAAATTTAATAAAAATTTTTTAATATAAAAAATATTTAAACTCTTTAAATCACATGGATTGGTAAAAAAGCTTGATAAATCATTATTTTGTAAAACATCATCCATTATATATATTTATATTATGTATGTATATATACATATATAGTGTATGTATATATTATATATGCATATTATATACATGTATATATATATATATATATATATATATATATATACATATATATAATATGCATATATAATATGCATATATAATATATATATATATATATATATATATATATATATATATATATATATATATATATATATATATATATATATATATATATATATATTAGGTATGCCGAAAAACGCGTTTTACGGAACCGATTTATGTGCTAAAATACTGTTCCACGTTTTTCGAACTTTGCGTTTTGTTGGTATGGTAGGATGGTGTTTTGTTGAATGATTTTTTAGAATTTTATATTAACAAAGAGTATTTTTAAAAAATAGAATAGTCAAATTATTTTACAGTTTAGTTGTTTTCTTTATTGAGAAATGTTAATATAGAATTTATTGACATCTAAAATTGTATTGCATTTCATGAGCCTAATAAATGTTGAAGATATGTTCTTATTTTTTTCTATCCTATTCTTTTGCTTAAGTTTATACATTTTCTATGAGCATGCCAAATTTCAAGGCTTTATTTTGACCAGCATATGCCCTATTTTTACCTGCACTTTAGGTACCTAATTTTATTTTTTTTCATACCGATTTTGGAGAGATAGGGGGGGGGGGAGAAAAAGGTTTATACGAAGTTTAATATTTGTTTAATATATGTATGTAAGCCTTTTATATAATAAGTACTTGAATTATTTATATAACATTGAAAAAATCTTTCAGAGGTTATTATTAAAAAAATATATATATCATAAATAATTATCATTAATAAATATAATTATCAAAAAATAATAATTAATTACATATTGTGTAAATGTGTTAGTAATGTAAAAATAATAGTATTATTAAAAGAGATTACCAATAAAGTTTATTAGATCTAGTTTTATTTGTAGATTTTACATTACAGTTTTTTATTGTTATAAAGTCTTTATAACAATAAAAAACTGTAATGTAATAATATTAATATTATTATTATTAACATAGAAGCTACTTTATTAAAGTAGCTTCTACGTTAATAATATTAATATTATTCTAGAATTAAATTATGTCATCAAGCGAAAATGAAATGAGGAAGTTGACTTTGTCAGAATCTGACAAAGCAACTGATACCTTTTTTAATACCAGTTAGTTAATTTCTTTAGTAATTTCTATAGCTCTTTCATAACATTTAGTTATAAAATAAATTTATTACATTGTTTTTTTTTGATTCTTTAGATCAACATGCGATAGAAAAAATAATCAGTTAGTATTCTTGTTTTAAGTTATTTCTTTCAGTACTTTTTTACAGTGTTTTTTTATTGAATCAGTTTAATTTGTAGATAAAAGTTTTATACATTGTCCTTCTCCAGCATTTTTTATGCTATCCATGCAATATATTGATAGTTTTGTTTACTATTGCTTTTTTTCTCTATACGTCATTTAGAAGATCAATTAGAAAAGACAATGCGTAAGAAAAATTAAATTTTAGTTGTATTACTTGTTTAATTGCCCAAAGTTTAGTGACTTGTAACCAATATTAATTTTTTTAATTTGTAGTAAATTAAAAACTCTAGATTTAGTTTAATTGAATTTGTTATTATTTTTAGAGGATTTCATGAGAAACAGTAAGTGATATAAAGTTTAATAAATTGTCGAGTAGACATTTTGGCTAGTTTTTAACTTTATTTGATTTTTGAAGATTATATTTCATAGATGAATTAAATAGTGTTAATCGAAAAATAATTTTAAGTTCAAAAAATTTTTCAATTTTTATTATCTTTCTTATTTAGTGAACTCTAGTGGATCTAGTTCTACTTGTAAGGTTTTACATTATAGAATTTTTACATTATGATAACTAGCTTAAATTTGAAACATTCACTCTATATTACACCTTTTTTCTTGTAATCTTTAGTTGTGCCTCCTCCTGTTACCACTGGTAAGGTTGCTTCTAGTTTATAAAACAAATTATTACTTATTTATAATTTTAAATTAAGTAACGTTTTAAGGTTGGTTGCTTCTTGTTTTTTTTATAAAACAAATAATAATTTATTAATAATTTTAAATTATCAATATAATACATTTTCTTGTATTCTTTAGTTGTGTCTCCTCCTGTTGTCACTAGTAAGATTCACTTCTAATTTATATATATATATATATAAAAGAGAATATTTTCCTTGCAAAATAAATAATAATTTTCTATGTTTTCATAATTGTCTAATTTATTATAAATGTTCTTTATATTCTTCAGTAAACTGCATACATTTATATTTCTCTTTCAGCACTTACATATGCTGATTATTTAACCTATCGGTCCCAGCATCCAGGACCCCGATCAAACAAATCTTTTTTGAGTTGGGTCCGGAATGGTGGGGAGGACTATCCACATTTTAGGTGGCATCCCTACTCGGGTGCTGGGTCAAACAACCGAGGGCATCAGGAAAGGAGACGTGGCAATAGAGGAGGCAGCAGCGGAAGCACTTTTAATTATTATTTAAATTAAAAGTTTATATTTTTGTTCGTTTTTATTTTGTAAATATAAGATTTTTTGTTAATAAAAGTTAGTTCTTTCTTCAATGTGTTAATGTATTGTCCGCAGAAAAGTAACAAAAGCATAACTCACTCTCTTAAAATCTTTCTGCAAATCTCTATTATGATATTAAAAAGTTGATTTATTTTATTTTTGCAAGAGTTATAAATAAACACAACAAAATTAGAATCATTAGAGTTCACATCAATATTAGAATCATTTTGTCTTTTTATCATTTAAAAATTTCTTTTTAAATACGTTCCTAGCAACTGCAATCAAAAGATTTTTAGTATTTTGTACGTTATTTTATGGTATAAAGTCTATTTAAAATATGTTTAGGTTTTTTATGTAGTAAAATATTTTATTTACAAATAACTTTCTCTTTAGATTTTTACATAAATTGTTTTAATAATTAATAATGATATTTCAATTATATGTCTTGATATGGAAAGTGTTTTAAGAATGTATACCACTATTGTTATGACTAGCAAAAAGGTATCACAAGTTATCTTAATTAAAGTAAAAAGATATTTATTTTCAACTAATAATATGCTGACATTTTTATACTTATAATACTATATATATATATATATATATATATATATATATATATATATATATATATATATATATATATATATATATATATATATATATATATATATATATATATATATATATATATATATATATATATATATATATATATATATATATATATATATATATATATATATATATATTTATTTAAACAATTTTGAAATGTAAATTAGTAGAAAATCACTTAATAAAAATTTTTTTTCATTTTACAGTGTTTCATATATATATATATATATATATATATATATATATATATATATATATATATATATATATATATATATATATATATAATTTATTGTTAGTTAAATTGCAATCAAATACTTGTTAATTACATATCATAATTATATTATTTTTCATTATTGGTAATAATGAGACTATATTGGTCTCAGTATTGTTAATACTGAGACCAATGATGTATCATAAACTATTAATGTTTTGAACAAAATATTTTTCCAAAATATAACATTTATTTTTTGGAAAAATATTTTGTTCAAAACTGGAGTAGTTTAACTTTTATTGTGCCTTTTATTTACAGTTAATAACATTTAAATTGATATTGAAAACATAGTTTATTATTCAACAAGTTTTCTCCTTTTTTATTCATCTACTTTAGTTTAAAAAAAAGGTATGATTTATTTTATAAAGCCTTTTCCAGTCTCCTGTTGGTGTTATTACCCAGATGCTTAATACTTATTCATATTTATTATTTTTATAGGTATTATGGCCCCCCAAAAAAAGTTGCTTGTATTTAATGGAAAGTTTAAAAAACATTTAGTTGATAGCTTTCAATTGTCTGCTGATACAAATAATGAGTGTAGAAACGGACATATACTTTTTGTATTTATTGACAATGGTGAATTGTATACCAAAACCGTTGAAAAAGTCAATAAATATTTTGGCTTTAACACAATTGCAAGTAATATTCAAAGTCTTGTGAATATAGCTAAAAAACTGGCTGTCAACTACAAAAGAGATTCTAAACGTTTCTTTGCTTTTTGCAATGAACCCTTTGCTTTCCATAAACCTGCCTTGACAACCAGACAGTCATTACAGCCTACCCCTAGTAGTAATGTTTATATTCTCTCGTGTTCTTCAGTTGCAACATCAAAACACATCGACATATTATCTCCAATTATTAGTGAACCTTTAGCTTCTACAAGCAAAACTTTAAACTTGGAAAGTAAGCCTACTTCAAGAGAAAAACTTACCACAGAGAAAAAAATATTTAAAAAAAGGTTGTCAGACTTATCTTCAATGCTTGCTAGTTCTTCTAGAAATTACCGAAATAAGATAGTTTTAGTGAAAGCAAAATTAAAGAGTATGCCATATAAATTAAAAGTTTTTAGACAAAGTGTTAAAAGAAAAGAAGAAATCATAAAAGCTTTAAGAGCAGAAGTTAGAGACCTAAAACAAAAATTGCAAACATATTACTACAGTAGGCGTATTCGCAATCTTATAACTACAATAAAGGCAAGAAAAATTAAAGAGAGAGAAAAGTTAAGGCAGGTAATGCTCACGCATAATATTTCTATTAGAGAAAACAAAATTTCAATTGCTAGATTAGAAAATGATATGACCCAAATGAAGGAGGGTGATAGTACAGTTGGATTTATGTCAGGTGGTGGTAAGACTTATACATTACAAATTAGGATGATAATTTATAGCATGTTATTATCTAATGTTCCAACAGGTAACATTCCATTTCTATTTGAGAAAATTGTACAATATTTTGGTGTTGAATGTTTGCAAATTCCGCAGCGTAGTACTGTTGAGCAAATGGCTCGTGAGCTTGGCAGTATATCAGACCTGCAAGCAGCAGAGTGGGCTATCAGTAATAATAATCTTACTCTTGGTTTTGATGCGACCACACAAGAAGGTGTTCATGTTAACAGTGTTCACCTAACATCAAAGAATAAATGTCAGGTCATTGCTCTGGACCAAATGCCTGGAGGGACGGCTGATGATTATGAAAAACATATATGTATGGCAGTTGATCATATGGCTTCAGTTTATTCAGATTTTCATTTACTTTCTTTTGACAAATGTCGTAATTTGATCATCTCAAATATATCAAACACAATGTCAGACAGAGTAGCAGTAAACCATCTAACCGTAACCAAAGTTTGTGAAGCCTGGGGGAAAAATCTGAATGAACTAAATTGCCACTTGCACCCTCTTGACACAATTGCCACTGAATGTCGTTCAGCATTAAAGTCTTTAGAATCTGAAACTTGTGAATTATTTGGAAATGATTGCATGGCAGTTAAAATTGTTTTGGCCATGAACAAAATGAGGTTCAAAGATGTCAAAGGTGATCCTCAAGGGTTTGTTAATTTTTTAGACAATAACAAACTACCACGATGTATTATTCCAAGATATCGAGGAAACCGTCTTCATATTCTTTTCCATACATGTTTTATTTTTATAAAACACTATGCTGATTTTCTACGTTTTCTGACTACTGGAACAGTAAAATGCGGTACTTTGCAATTAGTTTTGCGAACAGCATTTTGTAATGCAACTGCATTAAAACAAATGTGTGTACTTGGAATGTTTGGAAAACTTCTCACTGGACCTTGGATGACAAAGTTTTATGTCTCAGCTGTGGATGCAAGTTTTGATCATGCCACTGGTATCCAAGTAGTAAAGAATATTTTAACAACACTAAAAGATTGCGAATCTAATCCAGCTGAGCTGTTTTGTAGAACAAAAGATTTTTTGGGGGAACCGCTTTTACCAAATATTTTAGAACCAATTACAACTTTATGTGCCATTGATGACCAGATAATGAAGATGATTTCTGCTTGTCTTAAGGCAGTGCAGGATGTCTTAATTCGACAATATAAAAGGTACTTTTCTCTTTCTATTACAGCAATACTCAAGGAGGAGACAGCTAGTGCAAGACTTCACAATATTGATAGTGAAGAATTAATAGGTATGTTTAGCGAAGCTAAAGGAAGATCCCCACATGCAACAATTTGTTATATATCTTGTAAATTAAGATCAAAAAAGAATAAGACTATAGATTATCTAGAAAGTCTAGACCCAATATACAGAGAAAATGTAGTTAAGTGGTCTATTAATGCAAGTCGTAAAAAAAGAATAACAAATCGACTAGGCCATGCTGCTTTACGAGCAGAGATTTCAAAAAGACAGGCATGCAAAAGACAAAAAATGGATGAAAAAGAAAAAAGAAAGCTGGAGCGAGATTTACGTGTGCAATCTTTTAATGATATGAAGGATTTATATAAGCACTTGTCTATCAAGCAACTTTCTGACTTAAATGATGTAATGTCTGAAAGAATTGTTGGAAGAGAACTTTGCCATGAATGGTTTGATGCAGATAATAGCAAGTCTGTCATGTATGATGGGCGAGTAGAAAAAGTAAATAGAAGAAAAGACGACAAAATATTTACTATTTCTTACTGGAAAAATGAAGATACCGATTCAGAAGTTGTTGACTATTGTATGAAAAAGTTCCAACTTGCAGCTGATGTTATATCAGGAGAGTTGATATTTTCATAAATTGACTATGTAGTTTTAAATGTTCCCATATGATGAACTGTAATAATATTAGTTTTATGGTATAAGTATTTATTATATATAAATAAAGATAAATGATTTGTAAATGTATATTATTTGCATATGTACCGCAAGTGGTGTGACATGCAAAATAGGTACAGCAAATGGTGTGATTTGCAAAATAGGTACAGCAAGTGGTGTGACTTGCAAAATAGGTACAGCAAGTGGTGTGACTTGCAAAATAGGTACCGCAAGTGGTGTGACTTGCAAAATAGGTACAGCAAGTGGTGTGACTTGCAAAATAGGTACAGCAAGTGGTGTGACTTGCAAAATAGGTACAGCAAGTGGTGTGACTTGCAAAAAGGTACCTGCAAGTGGTGTGACTTGCAAATTAGGTGCTGCAGGTGGTGTGACTTGCAAAAAGGCACTAAGTCCTTCCAGGTTAGCCTGCACATGTCAACTTTTTTATTCCTTAGTTAGTTTTCACATGTATTACACTGTTTAAAAAGTTGTTTGAGTAAATATAGAATAGATTTTTTTTGAAATGAAATTTAGTGTATAGTCCTTCACATTACAAAATGTTTTAATTTTTTAAAGTATTTATACAAAATATTGGACTTTTTTTTTTTTTAAAAGGTTTTTTATTAACAAAAAAATAAAAATAATGTGAAAATTTAAAGAACCAAAAGTAGAAAGTGACGTGTCATGCTGATTTGGCATGGAATGACTAAACTGCAAGTGGTTTAACATTTTTTTGATAGACGGCTCTGGCTTACGTTCTCGTCGTGTCTATCGTTAACAATGATTATTATTAAATTTCATTATTGAAATTTAAATTTTTAATCATTTACTAAAAGCCAAGACAAATTAATTACGTTTTTTTTTCAAAACAATATTGAGTTTTTCTTTTTCTTTTAGATTAAAGTGGGAGGTGGTTACAATGCTCCATTTACTAAAAATATGGATACTTTGATGCATCTTGTAATATAGTAAAGAAATTTTATACTAATTTATATTATGAATAATGTTAATTTAAATTTATTAATATTGCACTTAAATTTTTTTTTTTAGATTGGAGAGGCGGGGAGGGGGTGATGATCTTGCTACCAGATCATTTGGCAATGATCTGGTAGCAAGTTATAACAATTTCTTGTATATAAAAATTACAAATTTCATTAAAATAAGCTTGTTTTATTTTAAAAAATGAATTTTTCGACTGTGTAGGTGGTGGTTCGGTGCCCCCTCTAGCCCCCTGAATACGCCCTGTTGGTTAAAACTATTATAAATTTGTAGCCCACTCTTACACCTTTCTTTTGATACCAAGTTATAGACGTTTTGATAAGAACTGACAAAATTATAACAATTTACGCAAAGAAAAACTTAATTTTGACCACAGTTTCTTCAACAAATCCATATATCGAAAAATCGGTACTTAAACTGTCATAACTTTTGAACGAATGGTTCGATTTTGATAATTTTTTCACTATTAAAATACTATACTAAAGCTCTTTCCAATGATATATAACAATCTAGTAATTAATCAATTCAAATTTTTTTTGTAACATACCTATATATATATATATATATATATATATATATATATATATATATACATATATATAGTATGCATATATAATATAATAAACATATATAATATATATATATATATATACATATATACATATATATAGTATGCATATATAATATATACATATACTATATATGTATATACACATATATAATATATATATATAATATAAGTATATTATATACTTATATTATATATAGTATATATACTATATATACTATATATATATATATATATATATATATATATATATATATATATATATATATATATATATATATATATATATATACATATATATATATATATATATATATATTTATTATATAAATAAGAAAAACATATATAATATATATTTTATATTTATATAATATATCAAGTAGTCTCTACTTGTAATCCACACTCATGAAATAATACGGTCATAAAGAAATATCCATTTAATATTTACCTAACTAACTGCATCACAAGTTAAGCCATGTATTATTGTTAAATTGTCAAATTCAAAACCTTATAAAAAGGCAACAGATGACCTAATTTATTAGCATGTGTGACTTTACTTGTTTTTATTGGGCTAATAAGTAACTTGTTAAATCTTTACTTGTTATTTGTTATGTTGATAAAAAAATTTTAAGTCACGCATGCGTATTTTAGTTATCATATTGCAATTACGAACGATCGAACTCGTAATATAGACGTTGAATTAACGTGGAATCAACGTCGATTTTATTTGATAGTTTTAAACAAATTTTTCAACGTTGATACAACGTTGATTTTTGGTTATACGACGACGCGACTAAAAATCAACTGTAAATCAACGTCGAAATAGCGTCGTGTGCCCACTGGGATAGCTTTGAAGAGTACACTTTGCAGAAATTTCAGAAAAATGTATATTCTCAGGATAGCTTTTCAATTTTTCCACGAAAATATCGTGCAAGGTAGGATAAATATGTACGTTGTGTACAAGAGCTGAGTTTCTGATCATTTGATATTGTTTATCGCTGAGATCAGTATTCATTTTTAATGCAAGAGCATCCTCTACACTCATGTTAATGGGAAAGGTTTTATCCAAAGTTTAATCAACTTTTTCTATTTTTAAAACATTAAATATATTGTTTTTTAAAACAGAGGCTTTTTTTTTTCTCCAGCAGCATTTGCACTTTTTGCAGAAGCTAAAAATAGAGCTTCATGATGTTCAGTGGCTAGTTCTTTTATTTTTTTTCTTTCGCTTCTCTCTCCAAGAACACTCCATTGTTTATAGAGCCTTCCAGCACCAAAATGGTTAAATATAACTAAAGCAAGCTTAACTTTTTCTAAGTTTTCTTTGCGAATTTTTTCAGTATTTTTTATTTCATTAACTAAATCCTTCCATAATTTTAATTTATCAACTCCTAATTCACGTATATTTAGGATAAGATCTAATCTTTTCATTGTTATCGTTTTTAAGAACCATCAATATAATAAAACTAATATATTAGACACATTTTAAATTACATTACATATTTTTTTACTTTACACTGTTTCAAATTTTATCTTGTTATGACTTTTAACAACTTTCACATTGTTACACCCTGTGTTATTGCAAATATTACTTAGTTAACTTTATATTACATGTAATATAAAGTTAACTAAGTAATACGTGTTATTACAGGATGTAACAATTTGGTATTTCTTGAAACGGGAAATACCAAAGTTGTTCAATAAAACTTTTTCAAACATGTTGTACTTATCGAATAATAAATCGTTCTTTAAAATTGTCAATAAATATTTTAACAAACTTTTAAATAGTATATAATGACAAAAGCACGTTTTTTAAAACTATATTTAATATTTATGATTTAAAAACTATATTAGAACAAGTTCTGCAAGCAAGAAACTTAACTCTAAGTTTGCCATCAATTTCATTTGTTATGATATAATAAAGTTCTTAGCAAAATGGCGGAAAACAAGATTTTTATAAAATCATCAACATTTGTTTTTCTTTAATAACTTCCAATACTGCAGGAGACCGCAGTAATCCTTTTACATTCCTAAAGAAGAAATGCTAATTAACTGGAAAATATATACATATTTGTGGAACTCGGTGGAACATTTTTTTAGCTGATATATAAACAAAAAAAATACAATTATTTTCTACTTTTTTTAGAGAAGTCTTTAAATTTAAACGAAAAAATCAGACTTTTTTTTCTTTTTAGTATATTTGAAATATAGAGTCAAAGTATTATTTTAAAAATAAATATACACTTTTATTTAAATTTCAAGTTCTCTATTTTAGTTGAATAAAAACCTCACATTTTTCAGATTTCTTTAAAAATAATATCAAATTTTTTCACTTCTTTTACCTATAAAATACAAAGTAAAAGCTTTATGAAAAAGTTATTTTTACTTTGGAAATAAAAAATCATTGTCTTTTAATATTATCTAACAAAGAGCATTTAATTTATAAAAGAGTGGTGAGGGGTTTATTGACATTTTTTTGTTGTTTTGAGTCACTGTGCTGCGCTTTAATTTGAATATAATAAAAGAGCTCTAAACAAGCTTGTCAACATTCGTTACTGAAATAATATACTGAGTTAAATAAATCTGTTTTTTTTTTTTCGTTATAGATGGGTTTTGTATAAGATACTTAATCAAGTCATTATCCGTGAGGTCCCAGTAAGCTGGGTCAAAACGAAAATTTATAAAACGGGTAATATTTTTGTTCTTGTCAGCAAACTTTCCTAATTCTGAACAATTTTAGACGAGGCTGGTAAACTGATTACACTTCCATATTAATTAGCGATTCAAATCTTTGCTGGCATTTGAGCGTCAACCAATCAACCATCGGTGGGAGTTTGGGGCATGGAAGAATAAGGTAATAAGAAATACCATAATCTTAATTTTGAAAGAAAATCAATAACAAAAATTATCAAGTATTACACTGTTATTATTTTTTATTTATAAATTTAATAAAGATGGGTCCCAGTTCTATGTTGACTGTAGCAGTAAAAATCTCAGTTTCTTTTTTTGAATTTTTTTTTTAGCCGGTGTGTAGATAAAAGCGGCGTTAGTGGGGTGGCATTAGTGGAATGATTAAAAAACTACATTTCGCTTCCTATTGAGAAGGAGCATGCTCATTCTCAATAGAAACCTCTTCAATAATTTTTGCCACGACCGCAGCAAATTTTTGTCGTTTCGTTCTTTGTGAACTCATGAAAGTTAAATAAAGAAAATTGAAAATTTTACTTTACTTTTAAAAGGAATATGTTAGATATTTATATAGGCGCTAAAATTATCATAAAATTTTCGTAGGTTCACATGTTTGCGCGCGCATCCGGGAAATCCCAGATAAATCCCATTGAAATATACCAGATTTAGCCCGTACCGGATACCCAGATTAAAATCGTACGGGTCCCGTATGGGTGTGCTTGCTAAAAGACTGCTTTTCATGTAAGCAGCCTTTTTATAATTGAACATTGAATTGCCCCTTAAAATACGAAATTACCTTATATTAATGTGTAATACAAATTTATTTTTTGTTAAGTTTTGTCAGTAAAAAAAGTCAAAGAAGACAAAATTTATCTTATCACTACACCCCGTAAGCTGCGACGTAAGCTGCGACGAACTTTTATAGTAAAGCGTGTCTTACAAATATTAAATTTGCTTTTCATTAATATAATTAATGAAAATGTCTTTTATTTTTAAACAGTATCAAACTAAAAACTATTCAACATTATTCAGTTATTTTTATAAGGAAAAAACTTTGACAGATACAAACTAGCAAAGCGAACTAATAAAATAGGTTTAGCCTACTTTGATTGCAAATGATCTGGCAAAAAACAAGCATTTGTGTTTATAAATAAAAGTAATTTTAAAACAATATTGTTTTTTTACAGCTAGATTGAACAGACCTTTACCACGACTTTTTGTTGAATTAGAATTACTAAATTGTTGTAAAAAACATTTAAATTCATAACATTTATTGTAGGGGAGAGTGTGTATGAAAGAGCCAGTTTTAAAAAGGTATGAAAAAAAATCAATTTTGATTAATTAAAAAAAAAAAATTTTCTTTAATTAAATAGTTACTTTATTAGGTAGTATTATAAAATTAAAATAAATTGAATAACAATACAAATAATATCATACACCTATTTTAAAAAAAGAGAGAAATCAGCTCTTTCATAACATCTTGTCAATGAAAGAGCCACTCTGTGCTATTATATGAATTATTATATAATATTATATGAATGAGCCGTAACGTTTTTTATAAAACTAACAAGTCTTTTAAGAGTAATAATGTGTTAACTAGACTTCTATAAATCAAATTGTACTTTAAGTTATATAATTCTATGATAATCAATGATAAAACAAATGATAAAAATAATTTTAAGATTCTAACGCACCTACGTTTTAAACGACTTTAGAAAAATTCATTTAAACAATTAATTTCAATAGAACATGATCAATGAAGCATTACGAAAAACGATGAAGTCGTTAATGCGCAAAGCAGTAATTTAATTTAAAAAAAAAAGCTAAATAGAAAAGGCCGGCTTTTTCTTAGCATAAAAAAGTGGCTCTTTCAAAAAATTGTATGGTAAAAAAAAAATAACCCGTAAT